TTCGCATTGCGATTCTCTCGTTCGATTTTCATTCGCATTGCGATTTCATTTCGCATTGCGATTTTCATTTCGCATTGCGATTCTCTCGTTGCGATTTCATTTCGCATTGCGATTTTCATTTCGCATTGCGATTTTCATTTCCGCATTGCGATTTCATGTTGGGATTTTCATTTCGCATTGCGATTCTCTCGTTGCGATTGTAATTTCCGTGTTGCGATAGTCAAATGCATGCCTAATAGTGATAACAACTGAATAACAAGAGTTGGTTAAGTCAAAATGGTTGGCCTGAGTCATTAATCAACTGAAAATGTTAAAAGTTCACACATAAAATCCACATAATACAGTTTGCATTTAAAATCACCTAAGTTAACAGTCCCAAAAGGTGAAGCCAATTGTGATTTTGATGAGGATCCATATTTGGTAGAGGAAAGATGATTTGATGGCACTGGTGATCCACATGTCAACCTTGTATGACCACTTTCCTTGCACCGACTACATATCGATCTCTTCTTCTCTTCACCCTTAGACGGTATACGATCGTGACTTTTTGGTCGGCCAGGTAGCCTTCTGTCCATGGCTGGTGGCAAAACTGTTTGTAAGTCATCTGGTATGTCCCACTCAGAAGGATGGGAATAGGGTAGACAATCTCGGCATAAGTCTGTCGATAAACTTCTGTAGTGTAGCAATCCATAGCGTATGCGCTTGAATCATCTTGGTTTAAATGAAGAGCAACTTTTATAATGGCCACCGGATAACCAGATGTTTGCCATTTCATACAACTACACGTCTTTGCATTTAGATCGACTAGCCCATTTAAGTTATTATCCAGAACTTGAAACAAAGTGTTTGAACATGGTTCAACTCTCCATGACGTTGACTTCACAACACGTTTCGTTATCTTTTTTCAGTCCATGGTGTAACACGATGTTCCAATGTTCCTGTAAATTTAAATAAACAATACTTAGTAAAATAATAAATATGATAAGTTACGAATTCAAAGAAATAATACCTGCATGGTTTCTTTTCTTGTAGTACCACTGTTGAATAGAGGCTCGAAAAACTCCATTAACATAGTAATGGTAATTTCCGGGAATGACGACTTAGAGCGTTGATTGATTCTGCACTATTAGACGTCATGAAACCATATCTTGCCCAAGTTGATGTACTCTTGACCATCTTCAAACCCGACATCTTCTAGTGTTTGAGCACACTTGCTCCAAGTTGATGTACTCTTGACCATCTTTCAAACCCGACATCTTCTAGTGTTGAGCACACTGAGGCAAAACACGTCTTAAACAATTTATATGCTTATTGAAATCCACTTCCGATAAGCTTTTACAGCCTTCCAGTATGTCCATTTGTGCTTTTTTATACCAGCAGACCTTGATTTTAGATTTCTATACAAATGAAACACCACAAAGTCCATGAAAGCATCTGGGAAACACCTTCTAACAGCGTTGTCAATTGAGTTTACCCTATCGGATATGATTGTCAGATTGCTAATAGGACCTATGCAATCCCTAAGATGCCCCATAAACCATGTCTATGAATCAGAGGTTTCAGATTTGCCAACCCCGTAAGCTATTGGCAATATCCCATTGTTAGCATCCATGGCTACTGCTATAAGTTTACTCCAAGGTATCGACCTTTCAAATGTGCTCCGTCAACTAAATAACTGGGCGCATGCAAGTAATAAACGAACGAATCTACAAAATAATATACACAAGAAATATAATCATTTAAATGAAATGCATGTAACTAACAAAAGTCAACAAAATTATATTGATTTACTAACCGTAGCACCAAGGGCGATAAACAGCAACTCAAAGCGTCCATCTCTATCTGTTTTGATATGAGTTACCGACCCAGGATTTTTCAGCTTTAAATTGTGACAATAAGCCGGCGTTGGGCAAACGATGCTTCTGGCGACCCCCTCAACAATTCCAAGGCATAACATTTGGCTCTCCAAGCTTGAGAATATGATATACTAATCTTGAACCGAGCATTCATGTCAGTCATAATTTCATGTCCCCGATATACCCTGCCATTCAAAAACATTAACTCAGCCAGAAAACCACCCAACACCTTTTTTGTTTGCCTGTCTATGGTGAGGAAAAACTTGGGTTCTTGAACATGTATGTTTATCAATAAAAGTCCTAACTTGAAACATTCGCAATCTTTTATTCTCTTTGCAATCATTCGCCACATACAGTTTTTGTCAATCATACACCTTGTTTCGAAACGATCTTTGCTTGATTTGTTAACTTTTAGTTGATAGCCATCTTCCACACATTTCATATACAAAGCTATCTTCAAGTCTTCCTTTGTATCAAAACAATCATCTTTCTTGATACGAATAACTTTTGTGTAACAATCACTGCTTCTTTACCAACTCTTCTTCCGGTATCTGAAGTAATTCTGGCATATTCCAGTTATACGCCCGTGGCATTTTCTTTTCTTCGGGGATTTTTTCTTCTTTTTTCTTCTTCAGGATTATATGAATTACAGAATGGATGTTCAACATGTTCATTCACAGTCGTAACTTCCTCCTCATTATCATCAACAATACATTCTTCGGCAACGGCTGTTTCATCATCAAATTCGGGTATTGACCAATATCAAAATCATTACACGCAGGGTCTGTTTCTTCTTCTGAAACATCATCAAAATCCGTGTATTGACCAATATCAAAGTCCGGATATTGACCAAGACCAAATTTCGAATACTGACTAGTACTCACAATTTTTTCTGTTGGCTCATCATCGTCTAAATGGTCAATACGAAAACCGGAATTTGGTGCTGAAAGTTGATTGGGATTTGGATTAGAGAAAGGTTGTGGTTTTGAGAAAAACTTAGTTGATTACTACCCGCTACTGACCCAACAATACTACTTCTAGGTTCAACAACATACAATGTAACATCATCTTGTGAAACACTAATGTAAGCAATGAATCGTTCAACATCTTCATTGTCGGTTAACAAATAAACTTTACCATTTCTCTGATAAGATAGCCTAAATCCACTTAGGGGCTCTAAATTCAATTTATTGAAACACGTAGCATTAGGTTTCATAAGTTAACTTTTGTAAAGACAATTTAGTTGAAGATTCATGGGTAAGGCATATATTGTAAAACACCATGAACATTATCCCATGACCCTCCAAAACACAAATCTATCCAAACATGATCAACATTAGATGATTTCATGGTTAAATTAATTTACTAAACAGACGAGCTGCGAAACTAAAACCTGTTGCCGGATTGGGAAGGATGTCGTTGGATATAGGAACGGATGTCGCCGGAGAGAGTGATAGATGAGATGGAATGAGTTGCGATTTAGGGATTTAGTTTATGATTCAGTTATATACCCAAAATTTCAGTGTTGTGATTTACAGATTCTCGTTGCGATTTACGGATTATCGTTGCGATTTACAGATTCTCGTTGCGATTTACGGATTATCGTTGCGATTTACAGATTCTCGTTGCGATTTACGGATTATCGTTGCGATTTACAGATTCTCGTTGCGATTTACGGATTATCGTTGCGATTTACGGATACGCGTTGCGATATACGGATACGCATTGCGATTTACGGATACGCGTTGCGATATACGGATACACGTTGCGATTTACGGATACGCGTTGCGATTTATGTGTTCGCGTTGCGATTTTCATATTCGCGTTGCGATTTGGAAAATCGCAATGCGAATTGTACTATCGCATTGCGATTTTCAAGAATCGCGTTGCGATTTTGGAAACTGATTTGCGATTCTGGGGATCGCGTTGCGATTTTTATTTCGCGTTGCGATTTTGTTGGTCATTTTGGCAAATCCAAAAAAAATTGGTTAAAATCGTATATTATAACTTTTTTTGGTCACTGAGGCGATTTTCTCTTTTAATAATTGTATTTTATAGATACTTTAGAGAAATACTAAAACATAATATGAAAATATAAAATAAAATACTTACAGTATAAGAGTAATTTTGAAAGATACAATTATACTAAAATTGATAAAATATAAGTCATTAATTTGTCCAAATATTACGTATCATGTGATATATTATTAGAATATCACGTGACTTTTTATAATTAAAGAACAAAATGGATAACATATTTCATGAAAAAAATAAAGGTCAAAATTAAATAAAAAAAATTTTAAATACCAAAATGATAATGATGTATATTTAAATGAAAAAAATATCAAGCAACGGTAAAATTATAACAAACGCCCTAATAAATTTAAGAACTACAATAGTTATAAGTAACATCATATTTATAAGTAATTTATTTTCTTTTTCTATAAAATTTTTTAAGTTTATTTTCTCTAAAATTTTATAAATTTTAAATTAAGCGGGTTTTAGCGGGTTTAACGGGTAGCTCGCGGTTATACCCATTAAACCCGCGGGTTTAACGGTCCGGGCTAAAAAGCCCGCAATTTAAACGGTCTTCAATTTTTAAGGCCCGAAACCCGCACGGGTCGCGGGTTAAACGGGTAGCCCGCGGGCCTTAGCCCATATACTCAGCTCTAGATGCCACGTCATAAAAAATGTTTTTAAATATATTTATAAGTGTATATGTAATTAATTATAATTATAATTTATTCAATAAATAACTTTTTCTTGCTGGAGTAACATTACATATGAACTTGTCTCGTATGTATAAAACATTAACAGTTAGTCAACTAATAATTTTTATTCGACCCTACGATATTTTACTCTAAAATAATACCTTAGAATTTAAAATATTCCAAAAGTCACGATAAAAAGTAAAGTTATCATTTCTGTGAACGTTCATGTACTTTTATTATTATACCTAAAAAAGCAAAAACTAACTTTTTACATATGTGCATATCTGGACTCCACACCATAAATACTAGTCCCATTCCTCATTATCCAGCCTACATACATATATATATACCCCATAATTTCTGATGGCTGAATTCACATCAGACTTGCATAGTTTCAAAACATTCATTTTCTTTCTTGGATATTGATCCTCCCATGGAATCACTCAACCAATTCACCGAGCTAAACCCATCTCTCATTGATAATTCAGTCCTGAATTACCAAAGGTACTTGCCGGACAACTTCTTCAGCAATCAAACACAGGCAATTCCAGGAGGAAACTTGCAGAGCTCAGTCTCAGTTGTTCATCCCACTGTCACTGCTAAAACCGAGTTCCGTGAAAGCAAGAAGAGAAAAGCATTTGATGTATTCAAAGGCAGTTCTGGGAATCACTCGTCATCTTCTCAGGTTTGTAAAAGTGAAAACAAGAGAAGAAATGTAAGTACAGTACTGTACACATATGATATGTTCAAAGCACTGGTATATTCTTTGATTTGATTTGATCGTTGTGCAGAATTCGAGTAGAGGGAAAAGAGCGAAAGGTGCTGAGAAGGAGATGGAGAAACCAAAAGAAGTAGTTCATGTTAGGGCAAAAAGAGGTCAAGCTACAGATAGTCACAGTTTGGCAGAAAGGGTACTTATTTATTATAACTCATTATCTTTCTCAAAGAAACTTACCTAATGAAATAATGCATTAATTTTGCGTCAATCATCAGGTTAGAAGAGGGAAAATAAACGAGAGACTGAGATGCTTGCAGGATATTGTTCCAGGGTGTTATAAGGTAATTAAACGCTTTTCTTCCTTCAGGAACAAGGAACTTTTCCAATTTTCACTGTGTTGAACAATTTGCAGACCATGGGCATGGCAGTAACTTTAGATGCGATAATCAATTATGTCCAGTCCTTGCAGAACCAGATTGAGGTGAACTGAAAACAAAGATTCGAATCAATAAACAATAAAAATCTATATGTATATATGTATGCATGAATCTATAAGATTCACTAACCTAATTAACCAGTTTTTGTAAATGTTACAGTTTCTTTCAATGAAGCTGACAGCAGCAAGCACATATTATGACTTCAACTCTGAGTCAGATGCCATGGAGAGAATGCAGGTGCGTTGTTTTTATAAAAGATTATTACTTTCATTCTTGATCTTTTGAAATCTTATGGTTCTGAAATGTATCAATCACATAATTTCAGAGGGAAAAGGCACAGGAAACAGAAGAGTTGGAAAGATTGATGAGAGAAGGATATGTTGGAGGGCTAGCTTGCTTCCACTCATCATCATCAACATGGGCCTCTTTGACTTAACCTAATATATATGTTGCCTTACAACACATGATGAAGATGCCATATTTTTCCACACCTTATGAAAGTTCATAAAGTGTCGGAAAATGTTCTCCACTAGCATGAGTGAAATCTTTATACCTGTAATTTATTGGCAGTCACATTGCATTAATCAAATTCCTTTTCCATCACTATTTGTATACATTTGCTTCTTCTTCTTCTTCTTCAAGTCTCCTTTTGGTCAATTTCCTTTGATTTAAGATCACTAACATGGAAACTTGACTGCTAAATTCGACAGTTTTTCTCAGTGGAGCCATATCGTCCAAAATTAATGACAGCATATACAAAGAGACAAAGGAAAATTGGACTTTGAGACAGTAAACTTAACATGAAAAAGGACTTAAGTTAATTAATCCAAATCAGTTCCTTCAGATTAGACTTCACTTTCATTTAAGACAAAAGTTTAATGACAAAATTAGGAAAACCCCATTGTTAATTGATTACCAAAAAACCCGACAAATGAAGCAGACATGAGTTTTCATGCATCCCATATTGATTCAATCAAAGCTTTTTTTTCAAATTATAAACACTTGAGGAGCTGTAGTTCTACCTTCATTTTTATTACCTTTATTTTTTAACGTAGAAGAAACAAGCATAACATGTTGATTGCCTTTGTCTTTTATTGAAGGGATTTCACCTCAACTCGTTCTTCAACCCCACAATGCTTCTGAAATCTTCTGGTTTGAACCCAAAGTACAGATATTTAAATGTAAATATTTATATTCCTTTTATTATATTATATCTTCTATACGCAAAGAATCAGTAGGGTATCATTGTTTGATCAGGAAGAAAAATAGTTAGCTAGCTAGCTCCATCGCTCTGTAGGACCAAAAACACAACTGGGGCTGTTAAGAATTCGAGTCGAGTTCATTCGTTTCGAGAGTTGACCGAGCTTTGATTGAGTCGAGTTCGAGTAACTCACGATCTGTCTCGTCTCATTTATGGCCCTAAACACAACAAATAATCAAGAACAAGATATTTTTAAGAAAAAGAAAATCCTACCAAGGGCTTGATGCAAATAGAGGTTACTATTGGAGAGGGAACAGATTCTTGTAAATTACAGGGCCAATGGAAACAATGGCCAATTTGTCCAATACACATGAATCAAAATAACTGGATCCCACAAAACAGAAGGATACATGAAATCTAATGGATGTTGCCAATTCATGAAGTGGATGATTGGAGGAGAGGAACATTTTTTAGTTTTTATTTATTTATTTCTAGTTATATTTTGTTTTATAGTGCAAAGTAAAAAAAAGGAAAATGGGTAGATGCAGTGCATACAAGAGATTAGAGGGGCGCAAAAGGAGGACAGCTTGAGATGGACCTTAACCATTGGCATTATGGCCATGTGGGTTCTCCAACATCTATGATAAGAACTTATGAACCTTTTAAAGCCACTTTTGTTACTCTTTTGCCCATCAAAGTCTTCCTTCTTTGAATCCCATTTCACCAACTACTCTTGGGACATGCATGAACTAAATATAGGAAATTTAATGATTTTGAGTAATTTTGTGAACTATAAAGCCTAAGGATTTTATAAAATAAAATATCATTCAGCATATTTTTATAAATCAAATATGACATGCATCGAAACTGCTTTAGTCTTGAAACTCGAATTACGATATATAGTAACACCCAAAAATCATGTTAGTAGTTTCGGATAAATCATTTAGGCCTAAAGTATTATGGTATGCGTTTATGAAATATTGGTGTTAAGTGTGGTTTGGGTTTAGGCTTGAATTGGGCCCAAAAGATGATAAGGAAGAAGATAAAGAGAGTTCTCATCTTCCTCATGCGTGACACATGCACAATTAAGGATACCGACTTTTTAAAACATGGGTAAATTACTTCTTTTGTCCTCCCTCAATTGTCCCTCATCTAAAAATACTATTTTCATCATCTTTTAGGCTTAACTCAAGCTCAACACAAACGACATATAACACTCTCAACCTGTACCCGACCCGGATACGAATCCAATGTGTTACATTGCCTTTTCAAAACTTTTACTCTTTGAAAAGTCATGGAAAATTCAAAATTTTACTTGTATTTAAGTGGTGAAACCCTTATAACAAAGTTAATATTGAAATTCATAACTCACAATGAAAATAAATACTTGATAATTTACATAAATGTAAAATAGTATGTTTACAAAAACTCATGATCAGAGCATTATAGTTTAAAAAACTTAGAATACATGCTAACAAAATTACAAAATGATAAGAAACATAATGTTCAAATTATTCTGATATAATCTTCTTCAGGTGTATGTTGTCCTTTCCTAGCTTTGCTCCTTCGATCTCTTAGAACCTACGTGTGAACCCAGAACATTATGGGAATCGTCACTATAAATTGTATAGTCCTTGCCCAATTATGGTTGCACTAGCACTAGAGTTTTCATTAGTACATTCTTTAAGGATTCAAAACTCTCTTGGAATTTATTCGTCCAATTAAATGGCACATTTTTCCTTAATAGCTTTGTCAAAGGGGAGGAAATCATCGAAAAGTCCTTTACAATCCTTCGATAATATCCAACCAATCCCAAGAAATTTCATACTTCAGAAACATTTCTTGGAATTTCCCAATCCATTATAGCCTTAATCTTATGAGGATCCACTCGAATCCCCTCTGCAGATACCACATGTTTAAGAAATGTCACTTCAGGTAACCAAAATTCACACTTAGACAATTTAGCATAAAGTTTCTTGTCTCGAAGTGTTTGAAGAATCACTCGAAGATGGGCGTCATGCTCCTCATTTGTCTTTGAATACACCAAGATGTCATCAATGAGTAAAATCATGAACTGATCGAGGTACGGTTGAAATACTCTATTCATGAGGTCTATAAACGATGTCGGTGCAATAGTTAACCCAAACGGAATTACTACGAATTCGTAATGGCCATACCGAGTCCTGAAAGCCGTTTTTGAAATATCCTTTTCTTGAATCTTCAACTGATGATAGCCAGCGTAAATCAATCTTGCAGAACACCGAAACTCCCTTGAGTTGATCAAATAAATCATCGATTCTTGGGAGATGATATTTGTTCTTTATGGTCACCTTGTTGAGCTATTGATAATTAATACAGAGGCGCATCGAACAATCTTTCTTCTTTACAAATAGCACTGGAGCACCCCAATGTGACACTAGGTCTGATGAATCCCTTATCCAAAAGCTCTTGCAATTGAGCTTTTAACTCACTCAGTTCCTTAGGGGACATTCGATAAGGAGCCATCAAAATTGGTGTTGTTCCCGATATAACCTCAAATTGAAATTCAACCTCCCTATCTAGAGGTAATCTCGGTAACTCAGCTGGAAATATGTCTGTAAATTCTCGAACCGTCGGAATGTCCTTCAGTTTTCTCTATTGACTCGAGTATCGATCACATTAGCGATGAAAGCTAGACATCCTTGTAACATTAGCTTCTTGGCCGACATTACCGATATCACATTAGTTAATGGATTAAATCTTTCACTGACCATAATTACTTCTGATCCATCAAGACTTATCAAAGCTACTTGCTTCAATCGACAATCGACATTGGCATGGTAACAATACAACCAATCCATTCCTAGAATAATTTCAAACTCATCAAATGGTAATTCCATCAGATTAACAGCAATTCTCTAAATCTTTATGGGACACCTTCGACACAACTGATTCACCTAAGTACTATGCCATAACGTGTTAGTCACGATCATATCATTACTTATAGTTTCTAATTGAATTTTCAATTCTCTCACCAATTTAGTACTAATATAAGAATAAGTTGATCTCGGGTCAATCAAAACTAAAACATGTTTATCAATTAACTGAAAAGTACCTGTACGATCTCCGAATCATCGTGATCTTCATTAGTCTTAAGGTTGTAAACCCTAGCAGTCCAGCGTATTTCAAGTTGACTGGTCGATTCAGATTAATTCCTTCCTCTACATCGTCCTCTCCCTCTCTGAGGTACAATAGCATATCTCTCAGACTATACAGTCTCTCCGGTCATCAATGGGCAATCCCGGATAAAATGTCATGTGTCCCCACATCTAAAACATATTTCGGAGACCATTCGACATATGCCACTATGATGTTTTCTACAATGCTGACATTGACTTGGTCTTCCAGCTATTGATTCAATAGATTGAGTCTGCTTAACTTTTACCGGATTTGATCCTCTACCTGAGGATGCAGCTAATTCAGATCTAAATTGAGGTCGAAAACCCGAACCTCGGCTTTTCTTCGATTGCGATGCACTCGACAAGGCACTCGCTCTCTTGTTCCACTAAGTTTTCTGCTCCTCATACATTTCATTCTTAGCTCGCTCTAAGGCTTTAGCTCGATTCACCACTTCTTGAATAGTTTAAAGATTCAGCGCTAACAGGGCTATTTCAATCTAGGGCGTAAACCCTCTATAAACCAATTACATGAGTCTTCTGTTGGGACCAATTTAGCTACAAATCTGCTTAACTTATTAAACTTTTACTCGTACTTATACACAATGCTATTCCCTTGCTTCAAATTCATGAATTCTTGTTTCATTTGGCTGATGAACTGATCACCGATATACTTGTTCTTGAACTCTTCCAGAAAGAACGACTATCTCACCTGGTCCCTAGTAGGTCTCATCGTCATGTTAGTCCATCATATCCGTGCTTGCCCTCATAGTAATGAGACTACTCCATTCAATTTCTCCATTTCAGAACAATGGAGACCCTCCAACATAATCTTAACGTCGTTTAACCAAATATCTAAAGCAACAGGACCTTTCTCAGCTTCTCCTCAAAATTTTGGGGCTCCTAGACTCTTAAGCTCCTTTGCCACATTCATCATAGGAGCTGAGGGAACATACGGTTGGAAATGCGTCAAAATCGTGTCTAATATCCGGAAAAAGATCCTCTGATTTTGTACAGGCACTCCCTGGTGCGCATATTCTCCACCTTGCCTAGCAGGGGCAAGTGAATTACTACTTCCCTCATGACCATCTCCTGATTCACTTAGGGAGCCCTCGCAGTCCGAAATCTATTAAGATACCATCACTAATTCTATTAGTAAAGACAACATACAATTTATCCTATCATATCAGAAATTTTTAAACTTTCGTTGGCATGTTCACTTTTAAAATCACAATTTGCTTCATTTTGAACTTAAAATCAATTAAATCATAGCTCTGGTATCAATAAATGTAACACCTCCAACCCGAACCCGACCGGATACAAATCTGAGGTATCACATTGCCTTTTCAAAACTTTTACTCTTTGAAAAGTCATGGAAAATTCAAAATTTTACTTGTATTTAAGTGGTGAAACCCTTATAACAAAGTTAATATTGAAAATTCATAACTCTCAATGATAATAAATACTTGATAATTTACATAAATGTAAAATAGTATGTTTACAAAAACTGATTAGAGCGTTATAATTTAAAAACTTATGATACATGCCAACAAAATTACAAAATGATAAGAAACCTATTGTTCAAATTATTCTGATCTGATCTTCTTCAGGTGTATGTTGTCATTTCCTAGCTTTGCTCATCCGATCTCTAAGAACCTACGTATGAAAACGCTCACACGCTAACTCGTTGACTTAGTGAGGCAATAATGAATATAATAAACCATTTAAAAACACTTGTTTATTCAATCCACATAAAACATTTCATATTGAAATCAGGATACATTTCATGAAAATACATATACTGTTATTATTCAATTTATATCACTTTATTATTTTAGCCCAACGCATATTACTGAGAACTCAAGGTATCAGAGTACATTGAGGTTGTGCACTAAATGCAGTCACCACTGCTCATAAAATTTGCCCCGAAATGCCATGTAGAATTTGCACCGAAGTGCCACATAGATATGTCCCGAAGGACCACGTAGAACCCTCGACTCTTGGCATGCTAACTATACCTCTAATTCTCATACATATACCTTGGGCTTTAACCATATAACTATTTTTCATTTCATTATTCAAAGTGTGTTTTATTCACGTAGAGTACATTCACATAAGGTATTTTCACGAAGAACATTTTTCACTTAACACATTTTCACATAGAATATTTTCATATAGAACATATTCACATATAAACATTTTCACATACCAATAAAATCAAAACAATACTTTGAAACTTCACTTTATATAAAGCATCATAAAATTAATTCATAAGTAAATAAAATAAATAAAACAATTTTCGATCGAAAACCTTCGAGGTTGGCTTATCGCAAGCCGTCCTTATATCTAATATAAAACAATAATTTGCACTCACATTTGCCTCACGAAAGTCCTAAATGAAATCCTTTTTCTTTCATTTAATCTCGTACTATATCGATTTTTTCGTATGCTTATGATCCAAATCTACATATAGACATGTTCAATATCAATACCGCATTCCCATTAACGAATAACCAATTAATACTTAGATAAACGAAATGAAAACTCTTAATTTAAATTTCAGACTGAATAGTATCGATACCCCTCCTACAGTACCGATATTTCTCTTCTATGGTGTCGATACCTACTTCGGTATCGATACCATTTTGGCATTATGGAATTTCATCCCTATTTACAGTATCGAACCTTACCCTTGGTATCGATACCTCTACATCAGTATCGATACCTCTACATCAGTATCGATACTACTTCAATCAGTAACGATATTGTTCATCCGATTCATACATTTTTTCCTTCAATTTACCTTTATAGTATTGGTACTGTTCTTCCAGTACGGACGCCCTTACCTATATTTCACTTATTTCACTTCAAATTTTACCCAAACTTCACTTAAATCTATTATCATTAACTCTATTCAAGCCCTTAAACTCAATAACACTTATCCCACACAACTTATACCCATTAATCCCCTTTAATCATCCAAAATTCTCCATGGATACTTAAAACTAAAAATCATACCTATCATACAAACATGTTATTAATCCTTTCTAATACTTCAAATACCTTAATCAGATCCTTGAAAAGTCAAATATACCTTTCAAAACCTCTAACTACTTAAATATTTCATCAATTCCTTTAAAAACCCATTTTACTAATTTACCAATAATTCCTCAATCCTTTAGCTTATAATCCTCTTTAAGCTTCCTTAAGCTTCTATACCACCCAAGGATTAAAAACCAACTCAAAAACGAAAGAAAACCCAACTTGAAAAGTAACTCACCTAAGCATGGAGGTTCACAGGGAAGAGAAGAAGAAAATCAGGCTTCCAGAAATATCTTCTCTTTTCTTATTCTCACATGTTAAACATCCTTTAAAAATGAGTTTTAAATTCATTTCTTGATAAAAGACCATAATGCCCTTCCACTCTTCTATCTTTTCTAATAAGTCCTAGACACAAATTTCCAAAAATTAGTTCATAAACTTTTCAATTTATCAAATTTAACCACTAAATTTTAAATCCTTACATTTCAGTCACTAACCCGATGTTTGGGGTATTACACGACACTTAACCCAAATGTTTCATAAAGGTCTACCATAACAATCTAGGCCTAAATCGTTTACCCAAAACTACAAACCTGATTTTCGGAGTGCTACATGTATATATATAGTGTAGATCTTGTAAAATCTCAATTACGTTAATATTAAACATTGGAATTTGATATTTTTATGAAGCACACTTAATATTTTCTTGCCTTGCTTTCCTTTAATATATGATTTCATATGATGGGAAAACTCTCGAACTTTGTTAAGTGGAGAGAGACCATAGACTCATGTAGTATTTCTATAAGATACAACTCATTCTAGTGTCAATGTAAAGTACCTATTCTTCCTCCGGTACATCGATTGTACTAATATTTTAAATCAAAATTTTACCTTTCGACAAGAGGAAATTCAATCTCAACTCGATTAATCGGTGTTAAAAATGGAAGTCTGTGTCAAGCCCACGACTGTAGCAAATCAGACATCCACCGATTTCTACTGTAAATTTATTATATGTGCCTAATGACGCCTTGCACATCTTACGATACAAGAACGTCAATATTGCTGACGTAACAGTCCACGGTAATGATGTGACAGTCCATCCGACATGTTTGAGTTACCAATTTAGCTTATCTGTCATGCTATCCTTCGCGTTATCAAACACCATGGAATTAATACGATAATTATATTGATTTAAAAAAAAAAGTATAAGGACCTGATGACTTTTTACCCCAAAAATCATTTTCATTGTTTGTTTTTTATTGATTAAAACTGATTGATTTTATCATGTAAGAACTCATCGAGGCCACACTCATTAATTTCTTTCTCATTCGACATTTGTTGCGATGTTTTTTAATGGTTTCTAGTTATATGTCTTTTCTTTTCATTTGAACACTTCCAAAAAAAATCTTTTCTTTATTGCTGTGTAAAGTGTTTGTTTTTTGTGGAATTATACTTTTATTTCCAATTATTTAATTTTAATTGATTTTTAAATTAATACGCGTACATGTAAATTATTTATTAATTGTTTTATTTATTATTCAAATTAATTCTTAGATATAAATCGATAGAATTTTAAAAAATACATTAAGTACATATATTATTATTTTCTGTCAAAACAAATATATAAATTACTATTTCATAATAATTTTAAGTCTATATATTAAAAAGTATTGATAAAATATTTTTTAATCAAATATTTCATATATAAAAGTATTATTAATGAGTTATTATAAAATATTTTATATTTTTATTATAGTTTAAGTTGATATATTTCTTATATCATAGTATTAATAAGTGTAAATATAATTCAAATACTATATTATTAATTTATAATGTAATATAATTCAAATACTTTCAAATTATGGATAATAAAATCGTGTGTCTTATCACAAACATTGATTCGTAATCAAAGGTGTTTCTACTCTTCTTCTAGCAATTTTTTAATCGATTGAATTAATCATAAAAATAAGGGTAAAGTATAGTAATGTCACTGAACTTTTCTAAAGCTTTCATTTAGGTCCCCCAACTTTTAAAACTTGCAATGCAGTCCTCTAATATTTAGTCTGTTTGTAATATGATCTCCGTCGTTACACTACCGTTAGTACGTTTGCAATTTGGTCACTAAAATTTTTAGGTGCTTGCATTTAGGTCGCCCAACTTTTAAAACTTACAACATAGTCATCAATTTCATTTTAAACCCCAAATTCCTTTTCGATCTCAAATTTCCTTTTTTACTCCTCTCTTCTCATTTCCAGCGTAACTTTTCAGTTAGGGATGCTTGGGAAATTCTAATCTAACTTTGAATTATGTGGAGGTGTTGACTTGAATAAGGGTCCATTGAGAGAAAACCCGACCAAGGGACTATCAGGACCATCAATGATTCAAGGTGTAATGTTAGATACATGTCATCTCAGGTGAAGCATAGATGTTCGATGAAATGCTTGTGAGAAAAAAATGGGGTTAGAAATGCAGAGTTGATAAATACTACTAAGATTAACTAAGTATCATTGTTGAAAGTCACCAACAAAGCTGAAATTATTTTGTATAAATGGCATATAATAATTTCTTCTTTTGATCCTTGTGGTTAAAGATTTTCCAATAGATGATCAAATATAATGAAATCCCAAACAGCGCATTCACCTCTTAGTCTCTTTCGCTCACATGCACTCTCGTTTGGTTTTTGTTCTTCAATTTTCCGCCATGTAAAATTGTAAACCCAAGCAGTGCTCTGTCTTTCAGCTTTTTATTTACAAAGAAAAAATGGAGGAAGAATTGCTGGAACGCAACACCGACTGCGTTTATTTCTTAGCCTTTCCCCTCACTTGCAAGAATGTATTTATTTTATCTTTTGAGCTATCCGGAAGTAAGCTTTTCCTCTTTTGCACTTTCCCATTTTCAGCTCACATTGTGTGTTTTTTGTTGAAATTTTTATGTTTCTGGAACTACATGTCAATGATCTGGATATTCAGTGTTAGTTTTGAACCAAAACCATCTAATTTCTTTCTTTCTTGTTAATCAAAACTTTTAGTACTCCTCATGAAAGATATTCAGTCCATCAGAATAGAAGTGAAAGAGGGTCATAGGCTAATTTTTTTTTTATCTTTTTGTTTGATTTTTCTTTAAATCAGAGAATTGGTTGTGAGTATCGACATAGTGAAATCGCAAGGCTCAATTTGAGAGATTGTTGGTACTAGTTTACTGGGAATTATATTGATTCGACTTATGGTTTTCGGCATCCTGTGAGCTCATATTCTTTTTAATAAGTTCATGTTGATTATGGGGCTGATATATCGTGAATGAATTGGATTTTTTTACATGTTTTGGAAAATTTATAGTTGAATTTTATTTAATTATACCTTTAGAAGACAATTCTGCATGCACGTAACTCGAAAGACATCATGACATGGTAGTATATTTGGAGCAGCTACTTGACCCTGTCGTGATGCCTTTCAAGTTGCGAAAGAGACTGAGAGGTGAATGCTTTGTTTGGGAATCTATTGGAAAATCTTTAACCACAAGGATTAAACGAAGAAATTATCATATGCCATTTATACAAAATAATTCTAGCTTTGTTGGTGACTTTCAACAATGATATTTAGTTTATCTTAGTAGTATTAATCAACTGTGCATTTCTAACCCCATTTTTTCTCACAAGCATTTCATCGAACATCTATGTTTCACCTGAGATGATCTGTATCTAACATTACACCTTGAATCGTTGATGGTCCCGATAGTCCCTTGGTCGGGTCTTCTCTCAATGGACCCTTATATCAAGTCAACACCTCCACATAATTCAAAGTTAGATTAGAATTTTCCATGCATCCCCAACTGAAAAGTTACTCTGGAAATGAGAAGAGATGAGCGAAAAAAGAAATTCGAGATCGAAAAGAAATTTGGGATTTAGAATGAAATTGAGGATTGTGTTGCAAGTTTTAAAAGTTAGGAGACCTAAATACAAGTACCTGAAAAGTTCAGTGATCGTATTACAAACGTACTAACGGCGGTGTAACGACGGGGGACCATATTGCAAACAGACTAAATGTTGGAGGATTGTATTGTAAGTTTTAAAAGTTGAGGGACCTAAATGAAAGTTTTAGAAAAGTTCAATGACCATTACTATACTTTACCCTAAAAATAATTCTCTTTTTTAATAACTCATTCTAAAAAATATTATTAAATACTAATACCAACGATTCAAAATGAGAATAAATATGTTGATTATCTAGTCTCAGAAGATTATTTTGTGTTGTCATACTTCAACAAATCTATAGAAAAAATTTAACCTAAATTAATTTGAATAAAAAATATAAATTAAGACAAAACAAAAGAAGAAATATAAAAAAAAATTATACTTACAATCCTATATTTTGAATGAATTTACCGATCACCAAACAACGATAATGGCCAACTAAATAAACGTGCTTGATATCCCATTGAATTAATCATAAAAATAATTCTCGTTTTTAATAACTCATTCTAAAAAATATTATTAAATATTAATACCAACGATCCCAAATGAGAAGAAATATGTCGATTATCTAGTCTCAGAAGATTATTTTGTGCTGTCATACTTCAACAAATCTATAAAAAAAATTTAACCTAAATTAATTTGAATAAAAAATATAAATTAAGGCATAACAATAAAAGAAATATAAAAAACATTATACTGACAATCCTATATTTTAAACGAATATACCTATCACCAAACAACGATAATGGTCAACTAAATAAACGTGCTTGATATCCCATTTGTTTGCTTTCACTGGTTTCTTTAACACTGCGTCTTCGTTGGTGGATTGAAGACGCGTAAAAATCCAGTCGTCTTCAACATGTCGCGACGATTACACGACATCTTCACAGTTTACTGTAGAAAATGGCCTATCCTGGGAAATAATTCCCAGGATGCATTATCATGGTAATTAAAAAGCTGGGAAATATTTATCACAGAACTTTTGCCTTTAGTACTAAGACTTTTCTTTCCATTTCAATACTAAAAAAAACATAAGAGGTGTCTGCACTTTGAAAAAAATTAATGCGGCCCTACATTATTTTTTCTTTTAATAGGCCCTCTAACTCAAAAAATAAAATTAATGTGGTCTTTGATTAAAGTTTTTCATCGTTTGACCGTTATGGTGTTGACGTGGTAGTTCACGATGTTGACGTAGCAGTCCACGGTAATGATGTGGTAGTCCATCTGGCATGTTTGAATTATCAATTTAGCTCATATGTCATGTTATCCTTCGCGTTATCAAACACCATGGACTGCAACGTCAACACTATAGACCGCCATGTCAACACCGTGAACTGCTACGTCCATACCAAGACGGCCACATTGAACTTATTTTATGAGTTGAAGGTCCATATTTAAAGAAAATTAATACGATAATTATATTGAATTTTTTTTATAAAAAAAGAGTGTAGGGAGTTGATGACTTTTTACCTCAAAAATCATTTTCATTGTTTGTTTACACAGTTTTTTATTGATTAAAACTGATTGATTTTCTCATGTAATAACTCATTGAGGCCACACTCATTAATTTCTTTCTCATTCCGTCATTTATTGCGATGCTTTTTAATGGTTTCTGGTTATATGTCGTTTCTTTCCATTTTCAACACTTCCAAAAAAAATATTTTTTATTGCTATGTAAAGTTTTTTTTTTTGTGGAATTATACTTTTATCTCCAATTATTTAATTTTAATTGATTTTTAAATTAATACGCGTACATGTAAATTATTTATTAATTGTTTTCATTATTATTCAAATTAATTGCTAGATATAAAACTATAGAATTTTTAAAAAAAATACATTAAGTACATATATTATTATTTTAAACAAATATATAAATTATTATTTCGTAATAATTTTAAGTCTATATATTAAAAAGTATTGGTAACATATTTTTTAATAAAACATTTCATATATAAAATTATTATTAATGAGTTATTATAAAATATTTTTATATTTTTATTATAGTTTAAGTTGATATATTTTTATATCATAATATTAATAAGAGTAAATATAATTCAAATATTATATTATTAATTTATAATGTAATATAATTCAAATACTTTCAAATTATAGATAATAAAATCATGTGGCTCATCACAAACATTGATTCGTAATCGAAGGTGGTCATGCTCGTCTTCCTGTAATTTTTTAATCCATTGAATTAATCATAAAAAAAATTTGTTTTTAATAACTCATTCTCAAAAAAAAAATATTATTAAATACTAATACCAACGCTCCCAAATGAGAATAAATATGTCGATTATCTAGTCTCAAAATATTATTTTGTGTTGCCATACTTCAACGAATCTATAGAAAAAAATTTAACCTAAATTAATTTGAATAAAAAATATAAATTAAGAAATAACAATAAAAGAAATTTTTAAAAAAATACTTACAATCCTATATTTTGAACGAATATATCGATCACCAAACAACAATAATGACCAACTAAATAAATGTGCTTGGTATCCCACTTGTTTGCTTTCACTGGTTTCTTCAACATCCACTTTCTTTCTTCTATTTCAACTACACAAATCATTTTATGCCTTCATCAGGTAAGTAAACAAACTATCTCCACCCCAAAATATAATATTATAACCCTCACCAACCTAACCTAACCAAACCAATAATTTCTCTACAATTTTTTCTTTATACTGCCAACTTTGCATGCATGCCTATTCACGTGCATCACGGGCATGCTGCAGGCAGCTGTGCTGCACGGACGCAGGCTTCACGGACCCATGTTGTATGCATGAAGGTTGCACAAGTGGAAGTGGTGCAGGCTGTTTGCAAGGGCAGGGAAATGCTTGAAGACGCATGGTAATCCCCGGGTCTTCACCCTCAAAACGCAGGGATTACACCGTATCTTCATTAGTGGATTGAAGACGCAGACGCGTAGAAATCCAGTCGTCTTCAACATGTCGCGGTGATTACACAGCATCTTCACGGTTTACTGTAGAAAATGGCATATCCTAGGAAATAATTCACAGGGTGCATTATCGGGGTAATTAAAAAAGTGGGAAACATTATCCCATAACTTTTGTCTTTCTAGTACTAAGACTTTTCTTTCCATTTCAATACTAAAAAAACATAAGAGGTACCTGTAGTTTTGAAAATAAACTAATGTGGACCTACATTATTTTTTCTTTTAATAGGCACTCCAATTCAGAAAACAAAATCAATGTGGTCTTTTGACCAAAGTTTTTCATCGTTTGACTGTTATGATGTTAAAGTGGTAGTTCACGATGCTGACGTAACAGTCCACTGTAATAATGTGACAATCCATCTGCCATGTTTGAGTTACCAATTTAGCTCATCTGTCATGTTATCCTTCGCGTTATCAAACACCATGGACTGCCATGTCAACACTATAGAGCGCCATGTCAACACCGTGAACTGCTACGTCCATACCAAGATGGCCACATTGAACTTATTTTATAAGTTGAAGGTCCACATTAAGAGAAAATTAATACGATAATTATATTGATTCTTTTTTATAAAAGAAAAGAGTGTAGGGAGTTGATGACTTTTTACCTCAAAAATCATTTTCATTGTTTGTTTACACAGTTTTTTATTGATTAAAACTGATTGATTTTCTCATGTAATAACTCATTGAGGCCACACTCATTAATTTCTTTCTCATTCCGTCATTTATTGCGATGCTTTTTAATGGTTTCTGGTTATATGTCGTTTCTTTTCATTTTCAACACTTCCAAAAAAAAATCAATTGCTATGTAAAGTCTTTTTTTGTGTGGAATTATACTTTCATCTCCAATTATTTAATTTTAATTGATTTTTAAATTATTTATTAATTATTTTCATTATTATTCAAATTAATTTCTGGATATAAATCGATAGAATTTTAAAAAATGCATTAAGTACATATATTATTATATTTTGTCAAACAAATATATAAATTATTATTTCGTAATAATTTAAGTCTATATATTGAAAAGTATTGGTAACATATTTTTTTAATAAAACATTTCATATATAAAATTATTGTTAATGAGTTATTATAAAATATATTTTATATTTTTATTGTAATTTAAGTTGATATATTTCTTATATCATACTATTAATAAGTGTAAATGTAATTCAAATATTATAATATTAATATACAATGTAATATCTAAAATAGATAATGTCTTTTTAAAATCATTTTTAACATTAATTTCAAACAATTAAATTTTAAAATATATTTTTTTACATATTTTTTTATCACTTTTCAAGAGTTACCAAACTGATTAAATTGGTATAACCAATTAATTAAATGTTAACCCAATTAGAAAATTATTAAAACATCTTTTACATAATTAACAGGATTGTAATGATGTTTTATCTTTTTATATGTATATATCTTTAAATAAAATAACTAAAATTATACATTTAATGATCAAATTTTTATACAATAATCTTAATTATTAATTTTTTTACCATTCAATCAATAATTATTGTTGAATAATGCTGAAACCGTCTTGCGGTGACTTGAAAAAAAAACTTTTAAAAATTAGTCAAAAGATGAAACCATCATTGATTATATTGTACTAGATTTCATTGATTATATTGCACTATGTACGAATGAATAATTCAACTATAAATTTTTTGGGTTAGTATTCCTGGTTTTAAGGTTTCGTCCTGATTAATCCATATCGATCAACATCACGCACCTGATTTCGGTACGTAAGTCTTCCAGTAAGAATTTTATGTATACATAATAACACGAACCTGAGACATTGCTTAAACGACATAAAACTGCTTACCATTTGAGCCAACACTTGATGCATGGAAAGATTTATGTCATCTTGCTTTTTTTTTAAGTAAATGAAATCAAAAAAGGATGTTGATAGTTGTTCACTGAATGCAAAGGAAAACGTAATAATAATAAAAATAAAATAGGTTATAAAATAAACAAATATGATAAAGAGTTAAACAACTAAAAATGTTAATGAAATTGAACAAACAAAGAATGTCTATAAATTGGGTAAAATGAGATTAAAAGGCAAGAATCTAATGAAAACCTCGAACCCGACGGAAAAATCGAAAACTAAATTAAACGGGTCGGGTTCGGGGATGATAAATGGGGACGGGTTTGGTAATCCCCGCCCCGATTACCCGATTATTCGGCCCGATACCCGGCCCGATAAATATTAAAAATAATAATTATTATATATATATAATATTAATAAATTTAATTTAAATTAAAAAATATATATAATATTTATATATTTAATTTAAATATATATATACCCGGCCCGATACCTGTTTAAATAATTGTTTATGCTAAACGGGGATACCCGTTTCCCCGCGGTTTTCCTTGATTACCCGATGGGGATCCCCGTTTAAATCCCTGCGATTTTTTAAGCGGGGACGAGTATGTGTTTTTTAAACGGGGACAGGGGACCAATACCCGGCCCGTTGCCATCCCTAAATCTCATTAACCGTGCAAATAAGGTAGTTTACCCTCTTATCTTATGATCGACGTATTATTTTTGGGGTAAAGTACATAATGGTGGACCATTTGTGTATTTTACCCTTATTTTTTCTCTCTTAAAAAAGACTAGCTGTTCCATTCTTCGATTAATGGCGAATAGTCGGTGTCAAGTCTATATAAGGTGGAGGTTTTCTTCATCAAATAGCCAAGAAAATAAAGGGCACTAAGGGAAAGTTTGTGGGAAAGAAAATGTGGAGGCTTAAGGTCGGGGAAGGTGGGAATAATCCCTACATTTTCAGTACAAACAACTATTTGGGAAGACAAACGTGGGAGTTCGACCCAAATGCAGGCACAGCTGAAGAGCGAGCTGAGGTTGAAGAAGCTCGTACCAACTTCTACAACAATCGTCATAATGTTCAGCCTAGTTCTGACCTCCTCTTGCAGTTGCAGGTACTTTAATCATCTTGATTAAATCAACTTATAGACATTTATCACCATCATAAGTATCACCTTATAGTCAAGTATACCCGGAGGAAAGACTAAAAGGGATCATCCCCTAGCTCTTACCTATACATTGCTCACCTTCTCTCCCATTTTAAAATTTTTTTCTTCCTAATTCTCACGTAAAATTATCTGTAAATGGTCGTCTTGCACTGATTGTTTTCCGTCCAAATCGGGAGTGAATTATCAACGATCGTCACAACCCATTTGCTTTCATCGACAAAATGAAATATTACTGATTTGAATTTTATCTTAGCTTATTTAGTCAAATGATTAATTATGTTTATCACTAATGGATGCAGTTTATAAGGGAGAAAAAGATGAAGCAAACAATTCCCCAACCAAAGATAGAGGATGGCGAGGAAGTGACATATGAAGCTACAACAGCAGCACTAAAGAGAACTGTGCACCTAGTGTCAGCTCTGCAATCAGAACATGGCCACTGGCCTTCCGAGCAATCTGGCCCATTGTATTTTACCCCTCCTGTGGTATCTGCTCTATTTCCTTATCTTTTGTTCGTATAGTTTACCTCATGTAGTTTCAGTCTGCAACCAGAATATAGGTGCGGAGTTATAAAATTTTAAAGGTGTGAAATTAGATAATGTAAAATATAAAAAAAAATTAAAAATTCTAAGAAGGTGCGGCCGTACCCTAGCACCCCTCGATCCATCTCTCCTGGTTCCCTGGCATGAAACTCTCTAATATTTTGCAATGCATGCAGGTAATGTGTATGTATATCACAGGTCATCTCAATACTATATTCACTGCAGAGCATCGCAAAGAAATTCTCCGTTACATTTACTGTCAACAGGTAACAAATTTGAACATTTTCATATTCCAAAGTAATATTGAATCTTTCTCCGATTCGATAAAAAAAGATTTCATTGAAAAGATTTTAATCATACACCTAAATTTATTTGCGTCTCATTAAAAGGCTTAAACCACCACATCAACACATAAACAAAATAGATAATGGCCGACATACTTCGAAGGATTTGAAATATCCAGATGACCCACTACACATTTAGAAAGAAATAGCCTCACATTTAGAAAAATATCATTTTATTTATTAATCAAATGATAAAATCCTACTTATGAGCCTCATTAAAAACCTCTCCAACTTAAATAGAGAAACGAGTACCACATAAATAAGAGAGGACAACCAAAGCATTAAATACATGAAATGAGTATAACCCGAAAAAATAACCACCCAAAATGACATCCCACTGCTAGAAAAGCACAACCCCAAAATAAATAAGAGTTAGTGACTTGATAATGACGACTTACTTTTTGGTCACAATAAACCAGTTACTTGTGATGTACTTTAAAATTATCACAATTATTACCTAAAAGTGATCAAATAAAAGTAAGTCACGATTACTCATTTTAAAAGTGACGAAAATTATTTTCGTCGCGAATAGCCTACTTTCTGTGACGAAATTCTTCGATATTACAATTAAATGGTCACTAAAAATGTTGTTTCTTGTAGTGGCCATGGATTCTGCAAAGCCAAAAAGCTTTGAAAAGCCAAAATCAATTGCTTTCTCCGATTTGTAATAAGATCAATCTTATCTTAAATCATGCAGAACAAGGATGGAGGTTGGGGATTATACATAGGGGGCCATAGTTCAATGTTCGGCACGGCCCTCAATTACATCTGTATGCGTTTACTGGGAGTGGAACTCGATGGTGGCCTCGATAACGCTTGCGAGAGAGGCCGGAAATGGATTCTCGATCGAGGGGGTGTCACGTCCATTTCCTCTTGGGGAAAGACTTGGCTTGCAGTATGCGGTGTTTCTTTTTATTTACCATCAAACTTAATCTCTACACATCAAAACATGGTTTCATATATATATTTATTCAATGCAGATAATGGGTATTTATGAATGGTCTGGCTGCAATCCAATGCCACCTGAGTTTTGGCTGCTCCCTTCTTATTTTCCCGTTCATCCAGGTATGCATTGTTTATGTGTTTATGATCAGTTGCAGGTTGTTTCGTGTACTGGTGTGTAAAGGTGATTAAAACTCGGATCGATTTTAAAAATTGATTTTTTTTAATTTTGAGTTATTTGAGTCGAGTTATTCGTGTCAACTCGAATTATCAATTCGGGTTTTGAGTTCAAGTCGAATTGAAATTTGGAAATTTCGAGTTACTTGAGAAATAAAAAATTTGATTAAATATTTTGATAATTTTACAATTTAGTCACTGACTTCATTATTCCTTCAATTCCTCTTTTATTTTAAATCCATTTTTTCACCAAATTTGAAACACATGCTCTTAAACCATCATAGAATATATATCTAATTTCAAATTCTCTTTTTGGTAACAAATTTTTTTATTTTTCAATTTAATCCCTCAAATATTTTATAATTTCCTTATTTCTTCGATTCATCATTTATTTGAAGTCTGTTTTTTATAAAATTTAAATCGCATGCTCATATACCACTATAGAATATCTATGTAACTTCAATTCTTATCTTTTTACTAAAAATGTACTCTCTCTTTTTATTTAGTCCCTTAACTTTGCATTTTACTCAATTTGATCTTTTTACTACAATTGTTTGCAAATTCTTTCTTCCCATCAATTCCTTGACTCCTTTACACTCTCATCAATATTTTACCCTCAAAATGATTTCTTTAAAATACAATATTGTGAATATATTTTATAATTTTAGATTATATTTAATATATTAAATAACATTATATGTGAAAAGAATATGAAATATATATCTTATATGATTAGAGAAAGTCAAAAAATTGGAACCAATCCTTACCATAATACTATAAATAATTATACTACAATTAGTATAGAAACTCAAATAACTCGACTCGAATTTCTTGAACTTCACTCGATTCGAAAAAATTTCAAGTTAAGTTCGAATTGTAAAATACGACTCGTCAACTCAAGTAACTCGAAATTTTTTAACTCGACTTGATCGAATACCCACTCCTACCGGTGTGGCTATGAAATTTGTTGCAAATTTGTTATTACTTACCAGATAATGTTATTGCAATGCAGGAAAGATGCTGTGTTATTGTCGATTAGTTTACATGCCAATGTCTTATCTGTATGGAAGACAATTTGTGGGTCCAATCACACCTCTCATTTCACGGTTAAGAGAAGAACTCCACACTGAACCTTATGATGAAATCAATTGGAGTAAAAAGCGACATTTATGTGCAAAGGTAAATTCATAGCCATAATATATATCTTGTTGATTAGAGAAAATGTGAATGAATAAATGTTTATACTGTTGCATGCAGGAAGATCTCCACTATCCTCATACATTGCTTCAAACATTGCTTTGGGATAGTCTCTACACATTTGCAGAGCCTCTCCTCAATCGTTGGCCCCTCAATAAGTTGAGAGAAAAAGCTCTTAAATTAACAATGGATCACATTCATTATGAAGATGAAAGCAGCCGCTATATTACCATTGGATGTGTGGAAAAGGTTTTAGAATTAATTTTGAATAATATTTGTTAGGCAAAAAGGTATCAGAGGTCTATGTACTTTTGAAAATAAATCAATGTGATCCTCATATTATTTTTCTTCCAATGTGGTCCTCCAACTCAGAAAATAAACCCAATGTGGCTCTTTGACTAACGTCGTTTCATTGTTGATCGTTACAGTGTTGAAGTGATAGTTCACGGTGCTGACATGGCAGCCTAGGGTGGTAGATTAACGTGACGGATGACATGATAGATAAGCTAAATTGGTAACTCAAACATGGCATATGGATTGACACATCAGCATTGTGAACGAGCACGTTAGTACTGTAATGGTCAACGATGAAAAACATTGGTCACAGTGCCACATTGAGTTTGTTTTCTGAGTTGGAGGGTCACATTGAAAGAAAAAAAGAATACAAGAGTCACGTTGATTTTTTTTTTCAAAAGTTCATAGACCTCTGATGCCTTTTTGCCTATTTGTTAATATATTATATACTGTGACTTGATTATAATGCATTGGTGCAGAGTTTATGTATGCTTGCTTGTTGGGTAGAAGATCCAAATGGAATATATTTTAAGAAGCATCTTGCTAGGATTTTTGACATTTTGTGGGTTGCAGAAGATGGAATGAAGATACAGGTTTGTTGATTTTTTTTATAACTATCATCCGATCTATTGATCGACTAATCCGGATCGGGAACTGCAGGGGCAAGGGCGAACCTCCTAACCCAATTTGCTCCATTTGCGATTGCCAAGATTAGGATAAAGTATATAAATGATCCCTCGACTATATGATACTACTTCATTAAGTCCCTCGACTATTAAAACTTACAAAATAGTCCCCTGATTATAAATTGTTGCTTTATTAAGTCCCTCGGCTATTAAAAGTTACAAAATGATCATCTGACTATTTATTATGCTCCAAACTCATCCTTTTTCATTAAAAAATTAACAGTATTATGAACTAAACGTTAACATGCTGACTATGATATGATAAATCTGATCCCAGAATCTCAATCAAACTATCATATCTCAGTCATCATGTTAATGTTTAACTTAGATAACCGTCAATCTTTTAGTGAAAAATGATGACTTTGGAACATAAACTGAGTGATCATTTTGTAACTTTTAATAGTTAAAGGACTTAAAAAAGCAATATTTTATAATTGAAAGACCATTTTGTAACTATTACTAGTCGAGAGACATAATAAAAATACCCTATAGTTGGGTGACCATTTTTGTACTTTACCCAAAATATTAATACTTTAATAGTAAATTATTGTCTTATTGTCTCATCTAACTAGTATGTATATTTTCTATATATCGCCATGCAGAGCTTTGGTTGTCAAGTTTGGGATGCTAGTTTCTTTCTCCAAGGTTTGCTCGCCAGCAATTTATCTGAAGAAATTGGACCTACTTTAATGAAGGGGCACGACTTCCTCAAAAACTCGCAGGTTTCTTAAACCCTAAACCATACAACAGTAAACTCTATATATAGGGACTCTTAACTACTTTGATTTTGGTTGAAATTTGAAGGTCAGGGAAAACCCTCCGGGAGACTTTAAAAGAATGTTTAGGCACATTTCTAAAGGATCATGGACATTTTCTGATCGAGATCATGGATGGCAAGTCTCTGATTGTACTGCAGAAGCTTTCAAGGTAGTTTTGTTTCGTTTTGATTAAACCTAGACATTTTGATTATGAAACAAAAACCATCGCTTAACAACGTGTTAATTGTTGTGCAGTGTTGCCTGTTTCTTTCAATGATGAAACCAGAGATGGTGGGAAAGAAAATGGAAAAAGAGCATATGTTTGATACCGTCCATTTGCTTTTATCTTTACAGGTAAATATTAAATCGGGATTCCAAATTTTAGTTTATTTTGATTTTGTCCTTTTACTTTTTTACGATTAATTACACTTTGTCCGTCTTGAGTTTGAATCCCGACTCCGTCTCTAATCTCGTATAAATTATTGCAGAGTAAAAATGGTGGTTATCCAGCTTGGGAGCCTGCAGGAGCTAGTTTTTGGTGGGAGGTAATAACCCTACTCCATTTTATGCCATGAATTAAATAGAAACATTTTTTCACCTTAAAACTATTTTTAGTGGTTGAATCCAATCGAGTTTCTTGAGGATGTAATCGTCGAACATGAGTAAGATTCTTATTTTTTTCTCTTTAATTAATCTCATTAATTATTCCATATATATAATGAAAAACTTAAATTTTATATTTATGAGAAGGATCTTTGTTTTTGTGTAAAATTTAGGCATGTAGAGTGCACATCATCTGTAATGCAAGCACTAGCTCTCGCCACGAAATTATACCCAGAACATAGAACAAAAGAGATTGACAATTGCATCAAAAAAGCTGCAAAGTTCCTTGAAGACGTACAATACCTTGATGGTTCTTGGTAATGGATGAATAAGCCCTTATGATTTTTTAGGATAAAGTACACAAATGATCTATCGACTATAAGGTATTGCTTTATTGAGTCTATCGACTATTAAATGTTACAGAATAGTTCGTCGGTTATAGGATGTTACTTTTTTGAGTCCCTTGATCATTAAAAGCTACAAAATGATCATTTGACTGTTCATTTTGTTCCAACCCACCCTTTTCGGTTAAAAAATTATTGGCAGTTTGAGTTGGACGTTAACCTGTGAACTGGGATATGATAAAATTTGATCCCAGAATCTCAAACGACTATCATATCTCAGCCATTAACATCCAACTCAAATTGCCATTATTTTTAATGAAAAAAAGGATGTGTTTCAAACACAATGAATAATCAAGTGACCATTTTGTAACTTTTAACAGTCGATAGACTCAAAAAGCAATGTCATATAATTAAGCGATCATTTTGTAACTTTTAATAGTCAAGAGACTCAATAAAGCATCTCTCTATAGTCAATGGACCGTTTGTATATTTTACCTTTTTTAATAGTTTGCGGTAATTATGAAGTAGTATCTGTTCATAATATTTCTTAATCATTAATAATATACACATCATGTAGACATAGTTGCTCGAATTCAATACCTTTAAGGAGAATAACACTTCCTTTACGATTTTTTTTTTCTTTTAAAACATTAATTTGGTGGGTTTTAACCACAATGACAAGCATATATAATTTCCACGTATGCATCATAGGTATGGAAATTGGGGACTTTGCTTCTTTTATGGCACATTGTTTGCACTATTAGGCCTTAAGGCTGCAGGTAAGAACTACAAAAATTGCTTAGCTATTCGTAAAGCGGTTGATTTTTTGCTTAAAACACAAAGAGAAGATGGCGGTTGGGGAGAGAGCTATCTTTCTAATTCCAGAAAGGTAATTGTATGTAATATACCTTATTCTTTTATTCATCAGGTATAATAATAAAATTATCCCGACGTTTGCACAAATAGTAATTTTTCCCTTGTCCTTTTTTTGGAGTATTTTAGCTTCAACGAGCAAAATATCCTTTATTGTGGCGTTTGTCTAAAAACGACGCAAAAGTATTCTTTATTGCAGCGTTTGTTATAAAAACGCCACTATAAATAACCCTATTGCGGCGTTTGAAAAAAACGCCGCTAAAGTATCAATTAGTGGCGTTTGACTTGTAAACACCGCTATATCGTTAAAATTTGTGGCGTTTTCTCTCCAAACGCTTCCTATTGATGTGGTAAGTCTATGTGCGATGTCACACCATCAAAAAAATGTAAACTATTTTTAAATATATTTTTTTATAAATATACATATAATTAATTTTTATAAGTACACGTGGACTTGTCACGTCCGTATAAAACATTGACAATCAGTTAACTAACAATTTTCATCCAATCAAAATATATTTTTCTCCAAAACGAAACGTTGGGACTAAAATACTCAAAAAAAGGAAATAAAAAACAAAATAAACTTTTATACAAACTTTGAGGGGGAATTTTATCATTATGCCTATTCATTACATACACAAATTTTGATTCTATTTGTACTTGTTATTGTTCATAAAAAGGTATATGTACCCATAGAAGGAAAAGACTCGTTCCTGGTAAATACTGCACAGGCTTTGATGGGTTTAATTATCGGTGGCCAGGTATGCTTTACATGCAATAAATAATTTTACATTTTTTTAATAATTTAGATAATACAAGATAGTAATCGGTCATAATCTCTAATAGCTATCGACTATATGTACACTCTGCAAATGTAACTGTTCAAACATGATACTTTTAAAGAGAACAACATTCCTTTTAACCACTAAAGTCAGAGGCGAGGCTAGGACATGATCAACTTGAGCGACGGAACAGGGTCCCAGAATAGCAAGGGTAAAAAAAAATTAGAATTTTTACAATAAAAATCTCATTTTTTTGGGTCTAACTCCACTTTACGATAAATGAGCTCATCTTCATGATCTCCCTATCCCACACTGTTAGAATTTGAGTTAGTAATATAACCAATCTCCCTATATATATTGCATTCAAGCTTTGCAATTTTTTTACTAAGGGCCTCTTTTTAAGAATTTGCACATGGCCTCCAACGTCCTAACCCCGACCCTGACTAAAGTCACTTGATTGTTCAATGATTTTACAATTCTAAATAAACAAAGAAACTATGCACCTATATTACTATGTGGATTGTCATAATCACCATACATATACAAATATGCTTCTGAATAGGCTGAGCGAGATCCTACACCTCTGCATCGAGCTGCAAAATTGCTGATAAATTCTCAGCTGCCAAACGGTGGTTTTCCCCAGCAGGTAACCATACATATATAGCACACTCATCATAGGTCAGGGATGGATCAAAGGGGACGGATGAAAACAGTCGCCCCCTGAAATTTTAAAATTATTATATGTTTCATAGACTACATATGATTTGTGTGTATATATATATATATATATATGTGTGTATGTGTGTGTGTAAATTTTGGATTACATGAAAAATTGCAGGGATTGGGTGGAGCTTTCTTCAAGAATAATATGTCACACTATGCATCATACAGGAATACTTTCCCATTGTGGGCTCTTGGGGAGTACCGCAGCCATGTTTGGCCTTCTAAATAAAGATCATTTGGAAGATGATCAAGTAAAATCTAAGAAGAATTAGCTGCATTTTGGATTTATAGTAATGGTATTCTATCCTTTGTAAGTGAAAAGGGACATTAATGGATGTTTGGCCTTCTAAATAAATTAAAATGATTTTTAATGAAAAAGTGATCCTTTGTGTTGTTCTTTTTACTCTTGAAAGAAATTAAAAAATCTAACTTCAAATTCCGATCAAAATTCTCAACCACAATTAAAAAGACGATATTATAATATTATAATATAAATAATGTCTGTAAATGCAAAATGAAGGATTAAATTAAGCATAATGCAAATTCAAAGGCAACAAATTTTAAATTGTGAAAAATAAACGAAGGGCCAAGATGAAATAAATTATAAGTGTAGCAAATCGTATAGCCAGCCACGTCTTTACTCCTGCTACGCTAGATCTGTTCTGATCACCGTCCAGCACAACAGAACCAACGCTAAGCTTCTTCTTTAGAAGGTTATACAGGTTTCTTAACTCTACTTCCAGCTTCTGTATTTCACACAACACACCTCTTCTTCCCCTTTTGCACTTTTACCCCTCTTTTATTAAAGACCCACAAAAAATATAATGAATTTTCGTCAAAAAGAAGATTTTTCAGAACTCTTGTTTCGTGAGGTAATCTTATAAATCTTGCTTCTTCTTCTTCTTCTTTTGTAGAAATGGGTTGATGGCTAATTGTTCAAATAAGGTAATCTGAGATGGGTTTTCTTTGAGTCCAGGAATCAGCAAACATATTCTTGTGAACTTGATTGGGGTTGTACACGGGTTTGAGACTTCACAATTTCTTTAGGTAAATGCTTTCTTTATTATTTCCCAATTTTTGGTTAGTATATACTAGGTTGTCAATGGAATCCAATACATTGGTTCTGGTTATCTCTTTGATTGTTTGCAGATTTTGGTTGCCATTCTAAATTGGTGGACATTGTATTACTAGGTTTTATATGAATCTTAAATAAGGTTTTGCTAATGCTAGTTGGATGCATTGAAAAATGGATGAACTTTAAAGTTTTATTGATGAAATCTTGATGTTTGAACTTATACACGGGATTTAGATATCTCACGGTGGATTGCGTTTCAGTGGGTATGAATTGAAGGGAACCTTAGAAATTGCAGAGGCAAGCCAAAGTAAAAGTATGCTTGAAGCTTTGATAAGAGAAGGATCATTCAAATGGTTACTTAGCAAGCGAAGCTCCTTTGCAGAGGAAGTTGAGGATCTGCAGAACTCTCCATCTGCTGGAAGGAATTGGATACCTGAGCTCTCTCAGGTTGCAAATATCGTTGTGCGCCGCTGCTCAAAGTAAGTTTCTTTTGCTGCTACTTTGCTACTGCTGCCTTCGTGTTATAAGTACATGAATTCTTTTTGCAACTTGTTCTGTAATCTGTTTCGAAGTTGTTTTGTTAAATTAGGTTTTCATTTGCTTCTAATTCAATCTAGATGCAATTAAGAATAATGCAAAGTGCATTTTGATTTTATTATATAGTTTCCTTATGGATAACAAAAACATAATGATGCAGAATCCTGGGAACCTCTTCAAATGAGCTTCTAGAACGCTTCAATGCTGAGGCATCTGATTATATAAAGTCACAGAAAGCGAGGAATTTTTTGGAATACTGTTGTTTCAGGGCTCTTGGTCTTTCTACTCAAGTAATGGGTCATCTGGCTGATAAAAAGTTTCGACGTCTTACATTTGACATGATGGTTGCTTGTGAAGCCCCAGCAGCTGCAAGCCAATATCCAGTTTATGTAAGTTACATGTCCAACACTTTGACACTCACTTCCCAGGCAAAAGTCTCCATGCTTCATGGAAGGTACCATATCTGTTGACATTTCATTAAACAGGTATGAGTGTGGAATGCAAGTTGAAACCCTATTTGACCATATGGACTCAGCTACATCACAGGAGTTAATTCACTGATCAAAATACTAACAAAGATTAGAGATGCAGGAGATTGAGACTGTCGGCCTATGGGAGTGTTCTCTTACTAGAGGACCTGCATTTGTATGAAGCCTAATTTCCTTAGATCCAAAAAATCCTAACCACGAATTAAACATAAAATTACACTAAAAAGTTATTAAGAATAGAGATGGAGAGGAGGTTTTACTTTTTCATTGTCTTCTGAGTAAATTTGTGACCATTATATTTGACTATAGGTTGCTACAAGCCTAATTATTATTTAACAGTTCCATCTTTCATTCTTTAAAGTTTGAAGTTAGTTTGCTTGGGAAAAACGTATGCCGTGGTCTTGGGTTTGTCCAAGAGCTAATGCTCAGATTATTCCTTTCAATTTGTCTTAGCTTAGTCCAAATTCAAATTCGATTAATATGATATTTATACTATATAGTACTAATATATTTTTAAGGCATTTTAGAATAACATATCCTGTATTTATATCCTATTTACATCGCTTTTTAGATGACTCCAGATGCCCAAAACTTTAATGAAACGATGACACTGGCTTTAGATACATCTACGGATTGGACTCCCATATCCAAGCTCATGTTACGTAATTTTTTTTTAACACATTTGAACCGCCTTCATGCACTTGGCTAATTGGTTTTCTTGTTCAATTTATCGTCCAATAAACCTTAGATTTGATGCTGACACTGTTTATGATAATTTTGTCTTTGCTTGCAGTTAGATGATGATCTCTCAGTTGGGGTGGAAGCCTTCACTCGAATAGCACCAGCAGTTCCAATCATTGCCAATGTGGTTATTTGTGAAAATCTTTTCAATGTTCTTACATCCTCAACAGCTGGTCGACTTCATTTCTCTATCTATGATAAGTACCTAAATGGACTAGAAAGGTAAGGGCCTTTACTCTGTGAATTGTCTGTTTTGGTCCAATCATGTGTTTCTACTGTAAAGTTTTAGAGAGGAAAATTAATGAATTGGATCTTAAAGCTCAAGGTGGAATTCTTTCGAAGCAGGAGTGGGATCAGTTGAGGCTGTGTAGGACAAATCTATGGAGGTTGTATAGGACAGAAGAAAGCATCTGGTTTCAGAAGTCAAGGGCAAGATGGATCAAGGAGGGGGATAGGAACACAAGGTTTTTTCATCTGTCTGCTCTGAACAGAAGCAAAAGAAATGAAATCTTAAGCTTGAAGATAAATGGGAGTGTGGTTTCAGATCCTCAACAATTAAAGGTACATATTTCAGAATTTTTCAAGGCAACCTATAATTCCAATTCAACATTGGAAACGGAGGATTTACTACTGGATTTTGCTAAGCTATCAGGGGATCAGTCTAAGAAGCTTGAAGAGCACTTCTTAGAACAGGAAATTTGGCAAGCTATAGTTTCATCAGACAGCTCTAAAGCTCCAGGACCAGATGGTTTCACCATGGGTTTCTTTAAAAACTGCTGGCCGATTTTAAAGGAGCACGTGTTGAAATTTTTTGAAGATTTCTATTTTGGAAGGAAATGGGAGCACGGTATAAACCATGCTTTTATCACACTTATTCTGAAGAAGCTTAATCCGGACAGTGTAGAGGAATTTAGACCAATCAGCCTTGTTGGCAGCTTATACAAGATACTTTCTAAAGTTCTTTCGAAGAGACTGAGTTGTTGTGTTGGTGATATTATTAGTCACTCTCAGTTTGCGTTTATACCAGGGAGACAGTTGCTGGATTGTGCTTTTATAGCAAACGAAGGGATTGATTACTGGAGGAAAAAAGGGTTAAAAGGGGTTGCCTTCAAAGTAGATTTTCGTAGGGCTTATGATTCCGTGGAATGGCCAATTTTAATTAGAATAATGTCAGAGATGGGTTTTGGTAAGAGATGGTTGTCGTGGATATCTCAGTGTATTTCAACAGCTTCAATCTCAGTTCTCGTAAACGGGTCTCCATCGGAAGAGTTCCACATGGCCAAAGGACTTAGGCAAGGGTGCAGTTTATCTCCGCTACTGTTTAACATTGTAGGTGAGCTGCTTAATTTGATGATATCTAAAGCAGTGGACAGGGGTCTGTTTCAAGGCTTTGTTATTGGGGAATCTGAAAATTCTGTTCGATTGACACATCTACAATTTGCAGATGACTTGATCATCTTCTGTCAAGCATCTCTCCCAGATTAAGAATGTCAAGAGAGTATTGAGGATTTTTAGTGTTATGACAGGGTTGCATCTTAATCTAGCTAAGAGTAAGCTATTTGGTATTAATGTGGAAGAGGAAGTTTTATCAGAATGGGCATCTTCGGTGGGCTGTTCTATTGATTCTCTTCCAACAGATTACTTGGGACTTCCTCTAGGTGCTAAGAAAAACTCAGAAGCCTTATGGGATCCAGTTTTCAAGAATTTTAGTTCCAAACTAGCCGGCTGGAAAGCTAATTGTCTCTCATTGGCGGGCAGGACAGTTTTATTAAAGTCGGTGTTAACATCCCTACCAATATTCTTCTTATCTCTTTTTAGAATGCCTTGTAAAATTGGTAAGAAGCTTAATTCTTTAATGGCCAGTTTCCTATGGGGGGATAATGAGGACAAAAGGAAGATACACTGGGTTAATTGGAAATCAGTCTGCACGCCTCTAAATTGTGGTGGCCTTGGTGTTCTTGATGTGAACATATCTAATCGGGCTCTTTTGGGAAAATGGGTGTGGAAGTTCGCCAATGAAAAAAATACTTTGTGGAAAAGTGTTTTATGTTGCAGGCACAAGGTAAGTAGTAATTCCATGTCTATTTGTAAGGTTTTTTCGCCCAAATCTTCTTGGATTTGGAGAGGGATTGCCAACAATTTCTTGAAGAACGACTCGGAGGGTGAACGTATCAGATCTAACTCCAAGTTGAAACTGGGAAATGGAAAGTCTATTGCATTTTGGACGGATTCATGGGCTGATGAGTCTCCTTTAAAATATCTTTTCCCTAGAATGTATGCGTTGTCAACAAATAAATGGGGTATGGTCGCTGAGTTTGGAAGTTCAGATTCGAACGGTTGGGTGTGGAACATCGATACCAGAGGAATTTGTGTGACTGGGAGTTGGATCAGTGGCTGGATTTAATGACAAAACTGAAGGACTTTAAACTGACTGATTCAGTTGAAGACTTTCTTTCTTGGTCTGCA